CATAGCCTTGTCTAAAAAGAAAGCAGGGACAGACAGTGTTCCCATGGAAACTCAGTTAAAATTCTGATTTGGATAYGAGCATAATCAGTGCTACAATCTAAATTCACTGAATTAAATGAAAAAGAGTCTTAGTTATGAAGGCAACAGTATAAAAGTATCTCTGTGCATGCAAGAGTCAGAGCCTTCCATCCTTATAAATTCTAACTACATGTTAAAACAGAATAAAGCAGGGAAAATTGTATGAGACCCTTCTCTTTTTGACTTCTGTGGCCATTTGTGCCATTTTTTTAATACAAAAATTTTTTTAATACAAAAATTGATGTAACAATATAAACTGAATCTGTTGAAATATACTTTAGTGCAGTCTGTTATAGTTTACTGCTAATGTGTGGTTCTGATTTCCTTTTATTTTAAATAAAAGGGCTTTTCCCTTAAGGCAGGATATATCAGCCCTGTACTGCGAGATAATGTTTGCTTCTGTTACAGATGTGCTTAGAAATTTATTAGTTCTGGAAAAGGCTCTGTCATTCGTTTTGTAAAACAGCAGAAAAATACAGAATTGATTGAATTTGCCTTAATTAGAAAATCAAATATGTTTCCTAAATGTGTTGTAGCAGAATTTCCAGGAGAACCTTTGTCATTTAGAAGTGTCTACATTTTGGAAAGTGGTAATTCACAGTTATTTTGATGCCTAGGAATATGATAGAGACTTGAGAATAGCAGCCCAACCTTCACTGATTGCAGTGTGGAATGAGTGCTTCTGGAAAGCCCATCARGACCAGCACCCCTGGAATGTGCCTGAACAGCTCTAAAACCTGKCCTTTGCAGGGTTAGCTTTCCTTGGGAGTCAATAACAGGTTTGCCTGTGCACAGCAGCACAATCTCTGGAAAGTGCTGCCAAAAGTCCTTCCTTTGAGTGGGGTTTGAGGGGCTTTTGATTTCTCCAGAGCTCCATTCTCATCGTGTGCTGGGCATCCCTTAACCCTCCCAGACCCCAGTGAGCCCTGAGTGCTCAGCACCTTCCAGGCAAAAGCCCCAGCTGAATTTGCACCTATCACACAACTTATTAGAAAGCGAAGCTGTTTTGCATGACAAATCCTTAGTTTAATGTATAATCAGACAGGTCCCTTTCAGAAACCTTCCTGAATTATTTCAAAGCTCTTACATTAAAGAGGATTATCTTTGGTGCCTGTGATATTGATTTCCCTCAAAACTTATCAATTTATACTTCTTAAAAATGCCTTAAGGCTGAATTGACAACTAAATCCTACAAATCATTAGTATATAAATTGTATTCGACTGCTTGTTGAAGTATCTGGATAGCAGTTTATGAGAAGTAAGTATGGTCCATTTGTAGCTTTATTGTGAAAGTCATGTCAGCACTTACACTCTTTCCAGGAGTTAATAACTCACCCAGAGAAGTTCACCTATGGCCATAACTTGACCTGCAGATCTTAGGCAATKCTGACATTTTATGAAAAAATTTAAAAGTCTGTCAGTCCCTTTTAACTTTATCAGTCTCAACATTTTTAAAGGCCTTATTTCTTTGTGGTTTTTTTTTTCTTGAATTATCAATGAAAACATTTATTAATTTTGGATTTTGTCATAAGTTAGTYGATATATTGTACTTTGTATTTCGTAGTTTTAAGGAGGTGATCTCATCTTTGTCTAATGAAGCAAACAAGCTCTTGGCTAATTTTCAGCAATATGAAAGCACCTTTTATTATGTTAATAGTCACCAAATGAGACAAAGCAACCATTACTGCTGACACCTCTGTAGGCTCATGTAACAATTCTGAAGATGTTGGTTTCTTATTCTGGTGAGCAAATGAGTAAAATAGAAAGTTTTCATTCTAACCCTGATTGCTTGAGCTCTTGGATGACATTAGCTGTTCTCYAGTTCATGTGCATGAAATTCTACACATTGGATAAAGCAAAAGATAAATTATTTTCCCTGATACAGGTCATTGCTAAGAGGTATAGTTAACATTTCTTGGCCGTGTTTCAAAATCATGGCAGTAAAATGTTCTTATGAAATAAAGTTTAGCTAAATGTGAAAATGTTTAGGTTACAGCCAATGTTAATCCATGGTTTTAAAAACTGACTTTCAAGTGGGCTATACATATGAATATACTGAATGCACCTTGAAAGATGATGTTTCTTTTTATTTAACACATAAAAAGTAGGAGGATATGAAAGAGATGAAAATTTATGTCAGTACACTGGAAAATCTTTCAGCATTATCAATCTAAGATTTCTTTCAATTCCTGACATGGTTTAAACCTCTAGTTCAGGAGATTTCAAGAATGCCAGTTTATAGTTCAAATTCTAGCTCCTAATTTTGTTTAACAAATAGGCAACTGTGGTCAGTTATTTAGTGACATGAATATTACATAAAAAATACATTTTTGATCCAAAAATGATAAAACCCTAGGCAAATAAAACTGCTTTTGCAGTAAACTTCTGGAAAAGTTTAGCATCTGTATCTTTAAAAATCATTCAGTAAAAGACACAAACATAAATCAGGTTGCAAATCCACCAGTGCTATTTTCTTTGTACTTGCAACTGAAGAATATTGTGGTACTACTTTATTTCAAACACATAAAAAGACATTCACTGAGTCTTTTATGTACTTTTTTGTACTTTTCTAAGACTATAGATTATCACCATATGGTTAAACAGCAAAAACACTTTTAAATTAAGTAAAACATTTAAAAAATAATAAAAATTAAATAGAAATAATAATAGAAGAAAAAAAAATAAAACCTTGGGAACTATACTGGAGCATTACAGTAAACATTTAACTTATGAATCATCTAATAGATATGGTGTTGAAAGGCTGGAGACTTTTATTCATTATGAGGTCCTTCTGATGTATTATTTGACTTCAAGTAGCATGACTCATATTTTCAGAAATTCGACGTAATTTGTTAATCACAATATAGCACAAACAGTTTGTAGAGATTGTCATTGTTATTGTAATTCAGTAAATAACAGATCCAAAACTTATTTCCAAATGATGTGGTTTGATAAAATGTCTATGTTTCCTCATTCAGTGTCCCAAGCTTGGTCTGACTGATGGGGTTTCATGTGTTCATAGACCTTGAAAGGAAAAAAGTCCCCCCTGTGACAGCAGAGGGAGGGGATGGTTGGCAGTCAGGGAATGCTGGATTCAGTCAATCCCCTCTCCCTGCAAGRACTGGCACCAGCACAATCTCCATTCCTTGGTCCCAGCTCTGTGATGGAGGGACMTTGAACTGCCAGGAGACAAACTGGACACAGAACTCACTCGTGACTTCACTGTGCAGTGGATGCCACGAGATTTATCTGCAGTGTCTGGTCCAAACTGTTCTTTGTCTGGTGGCAGCACAGCGTGTACCCGATCTGCTGTGGGAGGGGTAAAACCACTTTGGAAATAGTGATGGAAGCTTTGCCCAAGTCTGAGCTCAGCCTTTCTCACGATGCTGAGATTTGTAGAAACTTTTTTTTTTTTTTTTTTTTTTTTATGGTTAGTATGCTTAGGTAGTAGCCAGGATCAAGTCTGAAAAGAAAATACGATCAAGGATGGAATGTGTTATGTTTTAGTTATAAGTGGAAGCAGAAAGTCTTATACATCCTAAGAGAATCTGGTCAAAGCCTCTAAGAGTTCAGATAAATATCCTAATTTCTGGCTGTTTGTCTGGACTTTGAGCCTCTTAGGGTTCCTTAACTGCCAACTGGAAATCACAGCCTTCTGGCTGAGATGGAAAGCTACTCTGGCTATGCTGCTCTAAACTAAGACCTCAGCTGTAAGAAGCAAAGCTTTTTCTGAGAACTTGACAAGTCCTGGATCTTCCCTTAAGGTTTATAAAAGTGCTTACAAATGCATAGTGTTCCTATTTTTTGTTTCAGTCATGAGTTGTACTTGAATCGCAAGAAAACCCTATAAAACTAAAAAATGGTTGGGGAGTTATAAAAATACTCTCACTACTTCATTATTTTAGCATTACTGTGGTCAGATTTCAATCTTCACATGCTTCCTATACCATTGGAATTCAGAAATATTTCTTAGAGCAGTGGCCATGCTAGGAGAGGCTGGAAGAAAGTTGAAGACTCGTAGGAATTCATAAAAGCTCTGCCACCAGCACAGTTTCCTCTGTGACAGCTCTTGCCTTCTCTCTGCAGGCTGCT